AAGTTGAAAATTATTTAGACGACATGTTAGATTTGTTCAATTTATCAGGGTCTGATGAAATATCCAGGAGCTGACTGAGGAGATATGAGCCATTAGCTAATTAGCTTTGAAAACTTCAGGGGGTAGCCGAGTTAGCCTGTAGAGAAAAAGACAACAAATGATCTGGTAGCACTAGCAAAACATGTAGATGGTATCATGAGCTTTCGTGGGTACAGCCCACTTCTTCAGATGACCGGGGTTTTGAGTTTAGGATGGGCAGACCCAAAATAAATAGCGGGGGGGAAGGAAAAGGGGAGACAGTGAGCAGAAGGTATGGAAAATCAGGAAGGTAGGTATCTGAAGATTGGGTAGTTAAAACGAAGCAGATAAGAATCAAAGTCAATTGATAGTATCCTTCCTTTGAAAAGTCCTGGAAGACAGGAGAGATTTCAGGAAACTGGAAAAGGGCAAATATAGTGCCCATCTGTAAAAAGGGAAATAAGGACAACACAGGGAATTACAGACTAGTCACCTTCACTTTTGTACCAAGAAAGATGAGCAAATAATTAAGGAATCCATTTGCAAACATCTAGACAATAACAAGGTGATAAGTAACAGCATGGAGTTGTCAAGAACAGATTGTGTCAAACCAACCTAATAGCTTTCTTTGACAGGGTAGTGAGCCTTCTGGACAAGAGGGTGGATGTAGATGTGGCATTTCTAGATATTATTAAGGTGCTTGATACTATCTCGCATGACTGTTTCATTAAGAAATGAGGGAAATAAAACCTAGGTGGACCTACTGTAGGCCCATTTATAACTGGCAGGATAACCATTCCCAAAGAGTAGTTATCTGTGGTTCACAGTCATGCTGGAAGAGTGTAACGAGTGGGGTTCTTCAGGGATCAGCTCTGGGTCCAGTTCTGTCCAACTCTGTGGTTCACAGTCATGCTGGAAGAGTGTAACGAGTGGGGTTCTTCAGGGATCAGCTCTGGGTCCAGTTCTGTCCAACATCTTCATCAGTGTTTTAGATAATGGCACAGAGAGTACCAGAGACCTCCGACTTGCAACGCGATTGGTTCCTGGGGAAGTGTCGCAAGTCGGGGGCATCGTAACTCGAACCCTCATTTATGATAGGCACCGTGCGCCATCATAAATGTGGGCCGAAGATGTAAGTCCGGGGTTTTTGGCCCCTTCCGCACTTATAAAAATGGTTGTAAGTGCAGGGGGGTCAGAACTTGGGCGGTTGCAAGTTGTGGGCCTCCTGTACACTTATAACGTTTTGCCGGTGATATCAAACTAGGAGGAGTTGAAAGCACGCTGGAGGATAGCATGAAAATTCAAAATGATCTGAACAAACTGGGGAAATGGATGGTCTGAGGTAAATAGGATAACCTTCAATAAGGGCAAAGGCAAAGTATTCCACTTACAACTGAATAATCAGTTGTACATATTCAGAATGGGAAATGACAGCCTACGAAGGAGTACTGTAGAAAGGGATCTGGAGTCACAGTAGACTACAAGCTAAATATGAATCAAAAGTGTGACACTACTGCAAAAAAAGCAAACATCATTCTAGGATGTATTGCCAAGAATCTGGTAAATAAGAAATGAGAAGTAATCCTCCTGTTCCACTCCATGCTGATTAGGCCTCGGCTGCAGTATAGTGTCCAGTTCTGGGTGCCACATTTCAGAAAGGATGTGGAGAAATTGGAGAAGGTCCAGAGAAGAGAAACAAAAATGTTTAAAGGTCTAGAAAACATGACCTATGAGGGAAGATTGAAAGAATTGGGCTTGTTTAGTCTGGAAAAGAGAAGACTGAGGAGACATAACGGCTTTCAAGTATGTAAAAGATTGTTACAAGAAGGAGGGAGAAAAACTATTCTTAACCTCTGAGGATAGGACAAGAAGCAATGGGCTTGAATTGCAGCAAGGGAGGTTTAGGTTGGACATTAGGAAAAAATTGCTAATTATCAGGGTGAACCAATGGAATAAATCACCTAGGAAGATTGTGGAATCTCCATCATTGGAGATTTTTAAAAGCAAGTTGGATAATCATCTGTCAGGATGATCTAGACAGTGCTTGGTCCTGCTGTGAGCACAAGGGACTGGACTCGATGACCTCTGGAGGTCCCTTCTAGTTCTGTGAAAGAGATAAGGGCAAAACAAAAGGACTAGGGAGAGGAGGACCCAGTCTTGTCAGGGGAGCCAAAATCTCCCTACTCTTTCTTTAAAATGGGAACAGAATGTTGATCTAAAACATGCTGCTGTGCTCCCTGTGTTTGTAAGCAAAAAGCCCTTTCTTGAGGCTTTTCCCTATTGTAATAAATAGGACATACCTAATTTCTGGTGGTGTCAGGGTGGACATGTGGGCTGCAAATCCCCATAGAAAAGAAAAGCACTTGAAATTGTAGCATTGAAGGTGATACATAGCCTTAAATAGGCAAATAGGGGACGGTTTCTCTTCCTAGAGTCCATTATCTAGGCAATTTGCCAATTAAACAGTTCCTTCCTTTATTATCGCTGCCTGGGATGCAAATTGGGCCTGATGGCCATTACATTTTATTTTTCTAGTGAAATCTATTGCCATTGTACATGTGCTACTATAGGGATCATCATCTGAGTTAGGCGAACATCATAGCTACCTCATTTAGACCTGTGAAGCATTTCACAGCCTCTTTGATGTAGTTAGGTTGACTTCTCTCTCTGTCACGCGTGCGTGCGTGCACACACAGAGTGAAGTGCAGCTATGTTGACAAAAGACAGAGAAGTGTATTAATTGCATTGACAGAAAACCCCTTTCTGTTACCGTAGTATGTGTCTATTCTACATAGCATATCTACAGCATTGCAAACGTTCCCAGTAGTGACTGTGTTGTAGACAGACCCTTACACACCCTTACAGACTAACTGCAGTGTAGGAGCATAAGCTTTCGTGGGCAAGGACCCACTTCGTCAGCTGCATGTGGGTCTTTGCCCACGAAAGCTTATGCTCCTACACTTCAGTTAGTCTATAAGGTGCCACAGGACTCCTCGTCACTTTTGCAGAGTCAGACTAACACGGCTACCCCTCTGATACTTATCTGTGTGTGTATTGTGATACTCCTACAGCAAAGTGTGTCTTTCCATTAGCAGTAGAATTAGACACTCCACTGACATATGCTGATAAAACGTCACAGTGGCTGAGGATTCCCTTCCCACTAGGCTGCACTTGTGTTATTAGCAGCCAAAAAACTAGCAGCCAATGGTAAGTGAAATGGACACGCAGCATTAAACTCCAAATTAAAAACCCTTATTTCTGGTAACTAACTTCATCTTGGATTACTAACTCAGTCTTAAACATGTGGTTTGTTTTTCACCACTTGCATTGTTTGTCTCCTATTGCCTTATCTTGGATGATGGAAATAAACGTATCAGTTTTACTTTTATGTACATCTTCACTTTCTGCTCTCCTGACATAGTATATGGACTCAATTGTAGGAGATGGTTCTCGCCTCCTCCCCCCATGGCACAGAAGACAAACAATATGCATGTTATCTTTTGTGAAACCTTTAACAACTAGCCAATTAGCCCATCATAAGATGGGATTTTCAGGTGTCTCCTCCACGTCGGTCTTCTCTCCTGAGCCTCCGGTCTCTCACTCCGTGTATCTTTCTCCGCCTCCTGCCTCTCTCACGTTCTCTTTTCCTCCCCCTCCTGCCTCTCACTCTCTCTTTCTGTTCTCCTCCCTCTCCTGCCTCTCACTCGGGAGAGAGTGGAGCCCAAATGGTCGCTTGCGCCACTTGCTCCCACGTGGCGGCCCGGCTGAGCAGCGCAGAAGTCAGCCAAGCGCCATAGCGGAAGGTGAGAAGGGGGAGCAGGGCGATGATGTTCACAGCCAGGGTGCGGGGCCTGGAGCTGCTGTGTGCTTGGCCGACTTCTGCACCGCTCAGCCAGGCCGCTGCGGGGGAGCAGGTGGCCGTTTGGGCTCCCCCACGGCGACCCGGCTGAGTGGCGCAGAAGTCAGCCGAGCGCCCTGGCGGGAGGCGAAGGACGTGACTCAGGCAACAGCGCCGCCCAGAGGGAACAGCCAGCATTTCAGCGTTACAAAGTCATAGACATTGGGCTACTATATATATGATGTAAGCCTAGGGACTAAAATTAGTAAATGTCTGTCCTTTTGCTAACCTTGTATTGTAGCTTCAAGTATTACAAGGATGAGTGACAGAGGAAATGTGTGTCTCCTGCTTTTTCTCTGTGGAAAGGGTGCCATCCGTACTCTGCTTCATGCTGTCTGTGTCCCGTACTGCAAATGCATGAGAATTATCTTCACTGAGGCTGCAAGTGGAACAGAGCGAGTTGGCCACATATAGGAAAAGGGTCTGACTTGTATACAAATCCCAGACTTCATCAGCTAAAGATGGCTCATTTATAGTACTTGGAAAGCTGAAAAGACTAGGGCATTTGCCCATTCATGAGCTGCTTCTCCCCAGTCATCAGCTGCCATCCATCTCATTCTGTTGTTTCGAACAGGATTTTGCAAAGCTAAGACTACTTCCCTCACCATGACTAATCTTTCTAGAACCCTTGCCCCTTTGGAGTGCAGGAGTTGTCCTTTCTATAAATGATAAAGCAAAATGTGTTTCTGATGGTGATATTCTCCAAATGATTCTGCATTTGTACCAGATTGGTATGGATAAAATTTGCACTTCTTTGCTGGACCTGGGATGCCTTACAAAGGCCAGCATCCTTATAAACAGTCAGTTCTGGCAGGTGTTCATCAATATCTTTGTCTGTAGATTGTCACTCTAGGAAAAAAACTTCTGTCTGAAGTTTCTGGTGGGAGGTATTGGCAACTGTGATCATTGCAGGCATTCTGGAAAATGAGATATTTGTACCTAGTTTCTCAAAATTTTATGATCCCAAGATGTAAAACTCTGTTATGAATGTGACATTCAAGTGTTTGTTCAGCATCCCTAGGATTGACCATTCGCCAAAACCTTGCCAAAAACTTTCACGAGTCTTCTGCTTTCTTGGTTTTAGGAGGAGCCGAAGAAAGTTTGCTTCACATATGACCTTTTCCTGAATCTGGAGGGAAACCCACCCGTGAACCACCTCCGCTGTGAGAAACTGACATTCAACAACCCCACGAAAGAATTCAGACGCAAACTTATTAAGGCTGGAGGGGTGAGTGCAGGAAGAACCAGGGATGTGAAGAGGCTTGTAGTGAAAAGGTGTAGCCTACTAATTCTGTTCTGGGGGTTCTCACTGTACTTGAAATCCAGTTATTTTCTTATTAACTTAGCTATTTGGATACCTTTATTGTATACAGTCTCAACTGGTCATTTGCTGCATTTGTCTTGGTGCCATCCCAAATCCTGGTTCTGATGACCTAACTGCAACACTACCAGCTGCAAGACGTACTTGTGTGGGTCATTGATATACTTGTATTTTCAGTTTAAATTTGTGTCTCTGTAGTATGAAGGCCGTAAACCTGTGACTGCAGAAACCACCCTGAGGAGGATGACTTTTTGTATTGGTCCATCTTGCTGTTCTCAGATTGTATGAGTTTCTTTTGTGAACTGGTTGGTATCAATAATGTCCTCCAGATGCACCAGTATAGAGCTGGAGGGTTAAGAAAAAAGAGATTCTGCAGTGTCTCTGTTCCTTTTTCTCACAAGTAGGCTTAATAGTTGGCCATTAAGTGGCCCTGCATCCAGACATCCCCTGCCTGTCACTTAGGAAGCAGAACAAGGGCAAAGTTTGGGGTGCCAGATTGTTTAAAGCAGGCTAATAGGAGAATTTGTCTTAGCATGAGAGAAATCATTTTCTCTGCACTACCGGTAGGAACCACCAGTTGCTGAGGGGAATCGAACCATGTAATCATGTCTGCTTTTTAAAAAGCCCATGTAGCATGCAATTTGTGGAGGGTTTAGAAACTTAAATTTGTAGAAATAGAGACTGAAATTAGAATGAAAGTAAATTTAGAGAGGCTCCAAATACAGGAGAAGCCAAGAAAGAGGAAAATTGAATTAAAGGAGAATGGGACATATGTGCTATCAAGATTACGTGATGGAAAATGAAGGCAAATAAAAGTGAAAGCAGAAAAGAAAGGAAAAAGTGGAAGTAAATAGTAAAAGTAAAGCTATGGCTAGCTAGAAAAGCTGCAGTGATAAAGACATGGGCAGCCACAATGGGTACATTATGGAATCTGTGGAAATTGGTACCTAAGGAATCAGTCATTGAATATTGTCAAATAGTTGTACATGGTCTAAGCAAGTTACCTTGTCCTACATTCCCTGTGAGACCTGGCAAATTCACAGTCTATTCTAATGTTCTAATATTTTGACATCAAGTCTTAGTCTTTTTCAGCTACAGCTATGTGACCGTGTTTTAGGCCTCAGCAGGTACATGACTCTTTTCCAGGTATTCCTAAATTAATTGCTAAAAAGGTTGTCTACCTAAACCCACCTCTCTGGCCTGGATGGTAGAAATAATCTTGTTCCAACAGGAAGATTGTCTGTAAGCGGAACAGCCTAGAAGTGGAGCTATTAATTTACTTATGGTTAGGATTAGGGTTCGTTCTAAGTCAGTCTATCCAGAACTTCCCCACAAGTCAGACATCCTCCTGCAATGAGGATAAAGAAGAAGTGGCTTATTTCTACCATAGAATGGTGCTGAGCACTATTTGCTTTTTAACACTTGTAATTTTTAGGGTTTTAGTCATGCATTTTTCTTACACATTTCTAGGATCATCAAATATTGGAGTAAAATCATGTTTGGGCAGTTATTTAGAAACTAGGAGGATCAACTGTGAGTCATGTCTGATGTGACACTTCAAAAATCTTATTAGTCCCATAACTCATTGTCAAAAAATGTGGAAAAGATTTCTTTCAGCCCCAAATTCTCAGTGGAATTACTTTAGCTACATACAGAGGAGCGTACAGACATTCTAACCTCTCGTGGCTGTCCACATGTTGTACTTCTGATCTTGCCATTTAACTAGTTTCCATGGATGTTCATTGGCTGAAAGAATCCAACTGTGTCGTGCTCTGTAAAATCTTGCTCTCCCCAGCCCCCAGTTTGCCTCCAAACTATTTAGGGCATGGGAGAGACTTGTTCATGTTACTCTTGCTGTCTGTAGCCTCTTGTGGTCATAGCCTTGGTTAGGCATCCTGTTTGTACACAGGGTGCTGAAGTTCCCTTTCGTGGAACTGAAACTTCACATTGCTCCCAAACTTATCTGAATGTTCTTGGTTTTAGAAATTGTCATTGGAGCTGGGAGTGTTAGCTAGAATTATTCAGGAGAGATCTGACATTTTTAAAGAGAAAAAAGACCTGATAATAGTAGCCAAAAATGATCATAAGTCACTTTCTCATGTTAAGTGTCAACTTTCCTCCTTACTTGTATATAATTTCTCTTCTCTATTACTAGGTGATGGTAATGCCAGAAGGAGCAGAAACAGTGTCCAGGCCAAGTCCTGACTACCCTATGTTACCCACAATACCGCTCTCTGCCTTCTCTGATCCCAAGAAGACCAAACCATCCCATGGGTCAAAGGTCAGTGAGGCGTGCTATGCTGCATATATTATTGGAGCGTTGGAATACAGGACTTTGCTTCTGAAAAGGCATCTAAAAATGAAGTTTCCTCTGCAGTAACTAATTCTGGTTACTCTAAGAACATCTGGGATTTCTTCTTCCTTGCACTCATTAGTTAGTGCCCTGGGCAGTCTCTGTTATTTGAGCTGTAGGATTCCCTTCTGAGCAAGGGCTTTGTGACTTCCTCAGCTTCTAATGGAGGAGATGCAGCACTCAGTAACCTTTGTTGGCATCCTCTATACCTGACATGTTAAAAACCCTGTAAATGCTTCTTAGGAATCTAGGTGTTCTTTCTAGTAGCTCACCCACACAGGCTCTATTTAATGGCTACATGCTAGAGTGATGAGTGCTTTGGAGATTCATAGATGAACATATCCTTCTGGAGTCCCATTGAATCCACTGCTCCTGTATCTCTCTGTCTCAAGTCTGAAGGGCCTTTAGAATTCTTGTGACTTCATGGCCTCTCTGAAGAGAGTTTTTTTTTTTTTTTATTAAAGCAGACAAAATTTGGAAATATTTGAGCTAAGCCAACATGTTCAGTTGCTAGAGCTGATGTCTTTAAACTGAGCGTTAGTACAGCTTTCTTCATAAGTAGTTTCCCGTTATTATAACTTGTTTCCATAGAGTAATAGGATTTATCTTTTGCTCTCTGTCTCATGTAATAGCGGCAGTCAGAGTCCTGGAGGAATTCAACCTTGCAGCAGACAGGAGAGGTTGACTAGAGAATCAAAACTTACTCTAGCAGTGTGAGTGCTTGAGATGGCCATGCAAAGGGCATATGCTAAGCTGTACCTGCTCAAGCAACTGGTTTGAAGATTTTGATAGACTGCCTGCAGCAATAGCTAGTTCCCCAAGGCTCCCGAAGAAGGTGAAATTCACCTTCAGTCTGCACCAGCCTAATGCAGCTGACCTTGTATAGGTTTTTGTACATGGGAAGGGCAATTCCCTCCTGATTCCCACAGGCAATGTGCCTTGAAGTAGATTACATGTGTTCTGTGAGTCTGCATAGCTACAAAAATTAATGGCCAAGCAGAATGCTCAAATGACCTGAAAAAGAGCTCTGTCTGAGTTCAAAAGCTTGTCTCTTTCATCAACAGAAGTTGGTCCAATAAAAGCTACTACCTCATCCACTGTATCTCTCTAATGGCCAAAGTGTTCATTCCATGCTACAATCCAGCCCTACTACCTGTTTTCTCCATTCTTCTAAACTTACTGTATTGTCTCCTGATCCTTATGTGATGCAACAGGGAAAAATGACTTTGAATCATGTATTACTTGTCTAATAGTGGCTGATCTGAATTTTTTTGGGCAGCAGATAGATAGAAAGTGCTGAACTGAGAAGAGAAACTATGACCTGTAAGATTGCTCATGTAGCCACTCTGTGCTGCTGGGAGAAAGCTCTCCTGGTAACGTAATAAAACCACCTAAACAAGCAAACAGGAGCAATGTGTGCAGAAGTGTCTCTCGCCAACATAGCACTGTGCACGCGAGCACTTATGCCAGCAAAACTTATATCACTCAGAGGGGTGGTTTTATCACACCATGAATGACACAAGTTTTCCTGAAATTAGGGGTAGTGTAGACATGGCCTAAATTTCTCAATTGTCTCATTCCAAACAGGCCCTCTTTCTTTCTCCAGCTTCCATGATGCACAACAGTACATGTGCACTAATTGGTAGAGCCCTGCATGGATACAAAATTTGTATCTACATCCACAAAAATGATCCATGGGTATCTGCATCCACATCCGCAAGTGCAGATACCCACAAATGTCTGCAGATTTGCAGCGCTCTACTAATTGGGGCCAGTCATCCAAAAGTGGCAAAGGAAAATGACTCCTCCTATTAGATAGGCTAGGTAAGTGTCTACTACGGTGTGGTGGTTTTGGTTTTTGTTTTTGCTCCTTGTTTGGCTAAAGAGCTGCTGTAATAGAAGCAGTGGAGATTTTAGTCATTTTCCTAAGATCCAGCATAGTTTAATGTTAGATATGTAATGCATTTTTGGAGAGGCATTGGGTGGGATCACAGCTTGCTCTGACAGGATAAAAGATCTAATATGTCTCTTCCATTTAATTTTGTTTCTAAGATTTGCCTGTTTTAAAAGGACAGGTTGGTTTAAAAGTTCACCTTTTGTCTAACACTTACATGAGGAAAAGAGTCTCCACCACTGTCTGGAAATTTTAGTTATAGTGCTGTACAGAATTTCAGGCTTTTATATAGTTTCTGTGTTTCTGTCCCTAATTTTTAGGATGCAAACAAAGACAGTAGTAAAGCATCCAAACCACACAAAGTAACCAAGGAGCATAGAGAGAGGCCAAGGAAAGACTCGGAGAGTAAAAACTCCTCCAAAGACCTTGAACGAGAACAAAGCAAACCTTTGAAAGATTCCTCCAGGAAACCAGCTGAGAACAAACTGCCTAAGGAGGAGAAAGCACCTCCTAAAGCTGCTTTCAAGGAACCAAAACTGGCCCTGAAGGAGACCAAACTGGAGAACACTTCTCCAAAGGGTGGACCACAGCCAGAGTCAAAATCTTCCAGCAAGAGGCCCTCTAATGTGGAATCACCAAAGCCTAGTGCCAAAAAGCAAAAAAAGAGCAGCTCCAAAGGGGCGAAGAACATCCCAGGAACTTCTCCCCGAACCTCGTCTTCCTCGTATCCAGAGAAGAAACAAACCAAGGAGAAGATAAATGCCAAAGTGGAGAAAGTAAAAACTGAAAGCGAAGCCAAGGAGATCAAAAAACCCATGGAGATGGAGGAGTCAAATTCAGAGGATGAAACTTCTTTTAAATCCGAGGTGAGAGAGGGCTGGTGAGCATGCTGCTTGGGTTTCTTCATGAAAAAAGGTAGACTTGGTACAGAGTCTTTGATCTAGTCCTGATTTCAAGAGGATTAGGTCAGAGTGCATTAATGAACGGCCAATGTGTGTCTTCAGTCAGTCTCCAGCATGCTTAGTGTGGGGTGACTTCATACCTCAGCTTCCCAAAAATTGTTCATGTTGACAGGCCTTAAGGGAGCATTCAGTTTGGCTAATGCCCCATAATGATTCTACCTCAAGCAAAACTGCCTTATCTGTCCTACCCTAATTTAGCTACCGTTTCACATATGCAGTGCTACTCTGGGATTTGCCTATAAATCCCATTAACCTTGAAATTTCAGGCCAAGTTATATTCTGTCAACCTGATTGAGTTTCTTTGCAGTGACAGTTATGGTACATGGTGCAGATCTAGATGAGCCTTCATCTTCTTTGGTGATAACATCACAAAGTAATGCCCTGATCCTAGTTAAAGAACTTAGTAAATAATTTTTCTTTTAGAAAAACATAAATGCAAAAATGGACTGTAATGACTTGTCTGAGGCTGATAGCAAGAAGTACCATGAGGGAGGGCTCAGAAACTACCTGATGCCTGCTAGCTAAATTTTCTAAGCTGAGACTTCTTCTAGAGATGGACATTGGTTATGGCTCCTGAATCATCACAAGGCCTCCTAATATAATTAATCCCTGGTATAGGTTGGACCTCCCTGAGCTGGCACCCTTGGGACCTGACTGATCCTGGATGAGGGATTTTACTAGACATGGGGAGGTCATTTTTGGACCCCTGCCACCAGCCCCCCTGGCCCAGTTGCTGGCTGCCCTGCTGACTCCCCACTTC